CTACCATAATTCGTTTTCCTTTTGGGTCTTTCAAGGAAGGCAGGTCTATGATCTATAATGCTGTGTTATTGCCCATCAGCTCAATGTTGGGCAGAGTGTGGTGTCTTTCTCTTCCACTATGTACTTTGTCAAGGCTTTAATATTCATAAAAAGAATGTTAACATTAGATTAAGATGTGCTGGTCTTTAATAATAAAGCTCTATACTTGCGGCCACGTGGAATAATTGCTCTCCAGATACTCATTGGCAAGTCTAATTTTGAAATATCTGTACCTGAATTCCTATTCAAAGACCCACTGAGAGAAATAATATTTGCGGAGGTTTGACTCAGAAAGGCTAGGTCCTAAAATTTACTTACAGATTAAGCTAATAATCAAAAAGCTATCTTCCTGTTATTGAACTGACATCGTATTGAATTTACTTTCAGATGTTTAATTTTTTTCTTTACTTCCCTGTACTTCAGGTTATATTGAGAGGTGTTATAAGGAATGATTCTCTGAATGAGCACTGTGAGTGCTGTACAGTTACTATTGAGATGTTCCTTACAGCTCACAGTGGTTCACTGGGTTGATTTCACAGTAGAAGTGCTGCTCCATTCTGAGTAACAGAATCAGGATACTAAGAAATATATGTGTTAACTTTATGGGCATGGAACGAATAACTAATCCTGTTTCTCTCAGTGTACTTGCTGTTACAAATGTTAGAACTAAAATTTTACCAAGCTTTAAAATTACTTAAAAAGCATGACATAAATTTTATGTGCTAGCCTCACCAATGACTGCATCCTACTCTGCTTACCTTATCTTTTGCCTCCAATTTCTCCTATTTATCTTGGTGTACTGCTTCTTTCTAAGCCTCTTTAAATTCTTTCCAATGTAAAATGGAATGTTTAATAATAAATGGTGTTTGAATGTGTTGTCTTTCCATTTTACAAAGGCTTTCTCCAAACAATGACTAAGCCAGAGTCAAGGGGTTAATATGTAGAGTTTGGGATCTTTGGGGAAGCACACACTGAAATGAGATGGAGTTTATAGTGCAGGATATTTATTAGGAAATACCTTTGTGACAAATCTCTAGAGAAGAAAGACAAATGAGATGGGACTGAACGGAGCCAGAAGTTCAGCTCTAGCACCATTCAACAGCTTGTTGTTCTGGAGCCGAAATGGCTCCTCAGAGACATCCTACTTAGGGCTGAAAGGGAAGGGTCTTTATACCCCTGCATCAATCAGACATCAGATATTGGTTGCTTTAGGACAGGTTTGACTTTGGGTAAAGTAGCTTTCTACAATTGAGGTGATCCCTGAAAGGTCGGATCATTAAATGCTAGAAAAGCAAACCCAGCAGCTAGAAAAGCAAATCCATTCCTGAAAAGGGAAGTGTGCCACCCCATCTATCACAAATCCAGGTATCAAGGTAAGCCTGTTACACTGAGGAAATCAGAGTATCCTGGAAAGTTAAAAACACTCAAGAAGGTACTTTGGCCATAGAGTTATGTGCTAGTCAAATCTTCTACTCTACCTAGAGAAAATCTAGAGTGTATTTCCCTGAAAGGGAACAGGTTGAGGGAGAAACATTGCACACAAATGTAATGTGTGTGCACGTGTGCACACACATACAAGGGGCTTAAAACAATATACATTTATTATCTCAGTTTCTGTCCAGGTATGTCTTAGTTGGATCCTCTGTCCATAGTCCCATAGGCTGTAATCAATGTACTGTCAGGAGTTATTGTGTGCATATGTGTTTAATATACAATAGGTATGAGTGTCTATTTTGTGATATACACAACCTAGACTTCAGACTTCGACTCAAAGTAGAAGCCATCTCTATCATATACTCAAGTGTGCAGCATTTGCATTTCATGATTCCTATCATCACAGGACTATACTAGGGAGCTCAGCCTTCAGAATGAGTCCTCCAGCCTTGTACATTTTTACAGTCATGAACAAGAAACATTATGCTTAGTAAACTCTGTACCACATAAATTGAAACACTGGGCATTTATGTAGCTTTATTTATCAGTGGTATTTTTATTTTCTTACTGAATCCATTTTTATGCCCTTGAAGTTAAACTACAATTTGCCACATTCTTCAAATTTCAACAGTATACCCATTGTTCAGATATGGTGGTGAAAGCAAAACATGGAGATAAACAGAACAGACCTGCAGAGTATATACTGAAAGGTACTGCTGTGCACAACTTAGTTTGCATTGTGTTCAATGCAAGCAGGGCACAAGTATTACGGAATATTTTTCATTTTTTAACCTAAATAACATTTCTCCCTTGCAAATCATCAGTGTCTAATTTGTTTTTTGTTTGTTTGTTTGGCTGGTTGGTTGGTAGATTGGTTGAGGGTTTTTTGTTTTTATCTTTATGTTGTTTTGGTCATCTTTTTGTTTTTCACTGATATGCACCTTAAGATTTTCTGAGTCTTCCTCTTTCAAATGTGAAAACTATAGTTTAGAGAGGCTTGATAACTACCCATTTCATGAGAGAAAATTCAAGATTGGAATCCAGGTTTTCCCACTCCTACTCCAGTGCTTTTTCTCCCCCTTTGTTCCATTCATTGGTATTAATAGCTCTAAGAAATCAATAGCACTGACAAATTTCCCATGCACAATGTCTGTGTTGGCAAGGTATCCTTTCTATTATCCCCTTTCTAAAATGTGTTTTTTTTTTTTTTTAAATAGCTCCCTGGAGCACGCAGTTGCAACAATTAAAGATGAGCTTTGTTTTTACTAGCCAATGTGTGTGTTTGACATCAGTGATTAATACAGTCTTCTCTCTGTTGTTATGTTTCTTTATCTTGGTGAATAAAGACTTGACAAATTGTTAGGCAAAGAGCATACACTTCAAAACTATTGAGATATACCTGAGTAGAAGACAACGTAAGAAATATAAAGACTGAAGAGAGGGGCATATCGGCTTATTTTCATTCATCAAGAGGAAATGTAGCTTAAGTGGGGTTGACTTTTTGTGACATTTATTTAGTTCTTGAATTGACTGACAAGCCTATTAATGTATTCCCTGAACTTTATTAATGTAATTGGAAAACTGCCCACATGTCAATCAACTTCTAATAAGTAATTATGTTCATAAATACTGTAAAATTATTAGCTTTTAATTTGACCCAAACACATACTTTCAAAACTGTAACATGAATTTTGTTTTTCTAGAAGAACAAAATATTCTACTAATAAAACATTCAATACGTGCATTCCCACAGTGCACTTCCTAAAATTGAGTTCAAAAGTTCACCATCATCAAATGGCCAACAAAAAAGAATGCAATAGTAAGGCATGTAACAGTTTAAGAAATCTGTACGATGCGAAACAGTCTACATAGCATAAAGTTATAAAGCAATGCTAGGAAAATTAAACATGTGCCCGGGCAGGGCCCATATAGCCGTAAACTGGTTTAAAAATACAGTCCTACTATGGAACAAGAGAGAATGGAAAAGAAGAAAGAAGGATATATTTAGTGTCTCAAAATACATCATTTAAACCTATTAAAAGGCAAAATGATTATATCCCCAATGACTCAAATATATTATTATCCAAGTATACTTTTTTCACATGTAATGAAAATCTTTTGCAGTCCTTGAGGTAGCAATGCAAGTCAAAGGGCACAGCACTAAACAAGAGAACAAGATTAGGCTTGGATAAAAGAAGGAATCTGTTTTTGACTTGTAATCCCATGCTGGTTTCTGAAGCTGGACCAACCCTTGCCTTCTAGAATCTCTGGATAATATCTGAATAAAGATAGACTTTAGTGAAAACTTTATTCTATTTTCATGTGATTTTAAATAAAGAATATTGCCACAGTGTGCAATGGTCTGTAAAAGAAAAACCATTGAGGAAATTCACTGAATTGTTTGACTTATATTTAACTCCTGAAAGTTAATTATTTAATTAGTATGTTTAAACTTCACCACAAATTTAAAATACTAATAATTGAAATTGTATTTGGATTCATGTTTACCTTTATATGAGGAGATAAAGTTCCAGGTGTAAGTTAATAAAGTTCCAGATGTAAGCCATATACCTAAATTAATACCTACTGTTGAATTTTTGAAGGATAAATGGAGAGGTAATACAACTAACTTGCTCACTCAGCTTTCCTATTAGGAATAAAACATGCATTCATGGCACCACATTATCATATAATTTGTTATAAGTTTTACTTAGAAATGCTGCAATGTCATTTTGAGATCCACAGCCTTTCTATGCAACAAACACATGATTAATCTGTAAAGCACAAGGAAATAATGTAAAAGGGCAAGAATATACATTTTCTATTCTACTAGCATTATAATTGCATTTTTATTAAAAAGTATTTATATTGGGGATAAATATGGTTTTACATTTTAGTATGCAGGAAAAATAAAATAGCTTGATGAGTCAGTTTGTATTTAGAAACTGTAAGTTAGCTAGAATGATTTATGATCTTCTGAAAGTAAATCAAAGGATAACAAATTGTGTACCATGTTTTTTCAATTACTCTATATTTAAATAAAGTAATTCTGGAAGTCTGTTTCTTTCCATTGTGATTTGAATTAATGTAGGCAGAATCTGTATTGAGGCAGAGTGTTAGAAGTCTGGAGGATTATTTGTAAAGAGTTACTATACATATTTAAAAAGTTCTAATATTTTAATATATCCATCATGGGTTAACAAAGATTAAGTTTATTTTATATCAATCATGGGTTCTCAAAGAGTTCTCTCAAAGAGTTATCATGGGTTCTCAAAGGAAGACACTAAGTGAATCATACTCAAAAAAATCATAATGTGGTATTAATGGATAATTTTGATCTGTAAGTGGGGATCTGTATGTCTATAATAGCCATTACACTTAATGGAATCGAGGAACATAAATCCCTGATGATAATGACAACATATCTTTCAACGACGTCAGTTACTACTCAGTCGTTTTGATATCTAAATGCTGAACACTGTTATAAGAATGGTCCTTCACAATATAACAGTTACAGAAATGCATACCTTGTACAGTTAGATGCACCTGCATTGTTCTTGGTGTATGTTGAGTCTGAACAGAACACGTGTACGGGCCATCGTCTGTCACATCTACGTTCTGTATCTGGAGGCTGTAGTCTCTTTTATTCAATGTTGAAATTGAAACTCGAGGATCCACTGACCACTTATCACCTCCCGCAAAAATAATACTTGACCGGTTCAGCCAGGCACCCTTTGAAGCTCCATCTTCCAAATAACACCTAAAAATTACCAGAGACAGAACACTATTAATCAAAATGAAAATGAAAGACAACATTATCTTTGTTCTGAGTGCATTTCTCATGCTGAATTATAGTGCTGCATCGAATGCAAACATCAGACATTAATGCAGAAGATATGAACATATAAACACACTGGTACATCTTTCCTCCCCAATGTAAATGTGAAATAATACCTGCATACAGTTTTGTTTTGTTTTAAATGTGTGTGTGTGTGTGTGTGTGTGTTGACATGCACACATTTTAACTTGAGCCAGTCGAAATCCTTGTTCATTCTGTCTGGATGATGAGTAAATTTAAATTAAGTTAAATTAGTTCAAGTAATAGTTATCAACATTGAAACATTTTTTTCTTTGAAATTATAAGTAGAAAAAGGTCCATGAGTTGGCCTGTTTTAACCAAATCCAATTCTAATATAATGCACTAGATACTAGAGAGAAAGCATAGAATAGTACCATATCATGTCAACTTTTTAAATTATCATTTGCAGAGCAGTAATCTTGTACTCTGAAACTATAAACTGCATTTTACTGATAATATTGCTGTTATAATTAAATGAGACAAGGCTCATATGGTACGTTTAGCAGCAAATTTTTGCTGTCTTTTCAATAAACCAACCATAGTCTTTCTAGGAAGCATCCACTTATCCAACAAACATTTATGAAGCATCTACCACTTATGGATTTAAAAATGATATTACTCTTGCTCTCTAACACTTTTAGTCTAGTAAGGAAGACAATTGAGCAAATTAATCAATACTATACATAGAAAGAATATTTAATTAAATCAGGCACAAAGTACAAAAGAGTCACTTGACTCAGAAAGGGTACTGGAGGCATAGGGAAAGGTTTCATGGAACAGGAAATGCCTGGAATAAAGAGGTAAGGAGCAGGAGACATGACATTTAGACAGAGGTCATATGTGGGTAACACCAGAAGCAGGTGAGAGAAAGTCATTTCAAGGAAGTACAAATACGCATGGGATATAGGGTAGGTGGCATGAGAGATGAGATCAGAAAGGTAAACTAGAGCCAGATGATGATAGCAAGCCTGGTGGCAATTAGTAGATTTTAAGGCCAATTTTAAAGCCATTTATTCAAAGTTATATTCTATAAAAAGATTCAAAAATATAGCTTTGTATCTAATAGAAGTCAGACATTATGATTTACAACAGAAGGAGGCTGTGGTCATATGTCAGTGAATTTGCTGAGGCCTGGAATTCTATGTTTCATCTTGAAAATGTTCTAATACAAATTAAAGACTAGTTCTCTTAAATGAGTACAAAGCACAGCCACAGGATGAAAATACACATACATCGTAATAGTTTGACAGCATTTCTACAGAACACCTTGGGGAATTGAACACAGTGTTTGAGATTGCTACAAAATTGCAAGCTGAATGCAACAGGGTAGGCTGCTGCCAACTGTATAAAACTAATCAGTGGGTGAAAAAATAAAGAACAAGGTACACTGCAGAATCTAATTTGCAGTCAGCTTCTCCATCTACAGAATCCAAGCTAGTAAGGTCATAAAGGTCATTGTTAATTGAAAAGCTTTTCCTTATACAATTAATGAAGAATATAAAACTCACTTTAATGATATAATTAAACAATTATGGTATATTGTCATTCTTAATGATATGAAGAAAAAAGACAGAGGGGACATATTTCCCATTTCAAAAGATCACGTGTCTACAAGTATAGGGTAGAAAACTGAATTACCATTACTAGGTCTGTGAACGTTACAATGCTTGTATTTAATATACGGGTTCATCAAGTGTTTATTGTGTGACCTCTGTATTCATGCCTTCACATATTATCCTATCTGGTGCCCATTACAACTCTGTGGGGTATGGATTGCTATGCCCAATTCATCTCTAAAAAATAAATTCAATGTTCAGGTTAAATGACTTGCCCAAGCCACACTATTAGCGGGTAACCAAGTAGAATTCATAATCAAGTCTTATATTTCTATATTCAATGTCCTTGCCTTCATAATGTAGATCAAAGACTTTTATTTTTTAATTTTTTTAATTTTTTTTTTAATGTTTTATTTATTTCTAGGACAGAGAGAGAGAGAGACAGCGTGAGCAGGGGAGGGTCAGAGAGAGAGGGAGTCACAGACTCTGAAACAGGCTCCAGGCTCTGAGCTGGCAGTCAGCACAGAGCCTGACGCGGGGCTCGAACCCACGAACCGCGAGATCATGACCTGAGCGAAAGTAGGACGCTTAACCGACTAGGCCACCCAGGCGCCCCAAGATCAAAAACTTTTAAAATGGGTTTCAGAAATGGAAAGATGATCAGGATGTTGTAGAAATTACTGCAAGTAATTTCTTATTTACTAAATGTGACCAACTACTTAACCTATCCTATTCTAAAGGAAGCAGAAAATTAATTATTAATGGGCATTTTACCATGAAAGTCTGATTTCGAATACTCTGCCTGGCATTTTCCTTTCCCTTGAGGCAGGAACAGCTTTACTTTTATTTGGGAGTATCTGGAAGACCACAGAGATTAACTGGCCTTTAGATACTAAAGCTTTCATAGACCAAATCTGGGTTATAACTCCTGGTCTTAGCATAAGCACTATTCCTCTGCTCTGGCATATCAGGGATCATCAAGGAACAGAATTTAACATCTTCACTGTGAAAAATGAAAAATGAAAAAGGAACTTTTATGTCTCCTTGCTTGAATAACTATATTTCATAATAGTATTTGGTCCCAATCCAAAGCTTTTCAAGACATATATTAGGAAAACCCTTGAATGAGACTCAAATAAAAAACAAAAACAAAAAAAAGATATTTTTTTTGGTATTCCTTCCTTGGATTTTTGTGGAAATATTCTCAAATTACTCTACTTAGTTAAAATTTAAATAACTGAGATTACTGTAAGTGGAATTCTACAAATTGGGAAAGCAAGACCTAGGAATGGCATTCCATCTCCTAAAATCATGATATTTATATTTATATAAAGTACATATAGTTGTAAGGTGATCTATGAGACAATTATACCAAATATACATAATTGTTCAAACACACGTTTCCTTAAGAATAAGGACTATGTCTTCTATCTTTCTACCTCTTCTTTCTTCTTCACACCCACTCTAGTTCATTTGTTTGCTTTTTTCCCTTTATAATAGAAAGAGATACTGCCTGACATGTGTACACTGTATTAGGAAGGAATTCTGGAAGAAAGAAAGATATTCAGGGTGTGGCAGAGTGAGGCAGGTGTGTGAGGAGGGGTGAAAGAAGGATGCGAAGTGGTGATAATTTAGTTTTGCACTCCTCAGGCACCAAAAAAACATTTTTCTGTGTTAAGAATTCTAATATCTAAAAATATCAATATGTGGAAATGCTGACCTGTACAAAATCTGTGACTTAGGAAGGATGATAAAAGTATATTCATGAATAGCCATCATGCAGAATAGTAAATGAATATATAATAATTACATTGTTTTGTAATTGGATTCTTACAATTGCCTAAGGGTCTCTGGTTTCTGCCCTCAACCCCTGTAGCATGGTGTACTCTCTCTACAATAAACAAAAGGAACTTTTTAGAGTTTAAATCGGATCATCAACACCCCTTCCTACTTCATTTCCTATTTCATTCATATGAAAACTCTAATCCTGATACTGGCTAGTGATCTTATGTAATCTCGTCCCTTGATGCCTTTCTGACCTTACCGGCTACCATTCTGCTCCAGGACACTCTGTTCTACATTGTGGTCCTTTAGCTGTGCTTCCAACATGTCATGCATGTTCTTCCCTCAGGAGGTCTGCATTTGCTGTTCTTCTGTCTAGAACTCCCTTCCCCCCAGATATCTGCCTAACTTATTCCCTATCTTCCTTAGGTCTTTACTGAAGTTCCTATTGTATTAAATAGCAGAAATAGGGGTTCCTGCGTGGCTCATTGGTTAAGCATCTGACTCTTGATTTCACCTCAGGTCATGATCTTATGGTTCTCAAGATTGAGCCCCACTCATTCTTAGCACTGATGGTGCAGAGCCTGCTTAGGATTCTCTCTCTCTTCCCTCTCTGTCCCTCCCCCCACTGTCAAAAATAAAATTTAAAAAATGGGAAAAATAACACAACTATTCCCAACACCCTAGTGAAAAGCATTATCTATTTAGTTGATGGTTTATTTTCTGTGTCTCCTTGCTAGAGCTGACATCCAGGACCTTTGTCTGGTCACTTCTCTATATTCCAGGGGCCTACATACACTTGAAAATAAATATGAATGTTTGTTGAATGGATTAGTAAAGGCAAAAATTATGATATTAGAAGAAGAAAGAATAATATGGCAAAGTATATCAAAATTTCCAAAGTACAACCTAGTTGGGAAAGCAAAGTCATGCCCACATTAACTTACGATAACGTATCATTAAATGCAAGTATCTGTGTTACTAACCACAACTGCTCTATGACACACTGGATGAACTAAGGAATCTGTGACAATGAGTGGAGAACCACCTTCTGTGAATAGGGTAAAGTGGCAGGTGTGGGACAGCACTGAGCTGGGCTCAGGGCACCTGGGTGGCTCAGTCAGTTAAGTGTCTGACTTCAGCTCAGATCATGATCTGATGGTTCTTGAGTTTCAGCCCCACATTGGACTCTCTGCTGTTCAGCACAGAGCCTGCTTCAGATCCTGTCTCCCCCTTTCTCTGCCCCTAATCTCTCTCTCTCTCTCAAAAATAAGTAAACTTAAGAAAAAGTGAACTGGGCTTATGACAACTTGAAATATGAAAGTACTACATTTGACCCTCTACTTCAGGAACCACTTTAAGTTATTGAATATTCTGCTTAGTATGTGCTAGGCACATTATTACGCACTTACAATTATTATCCTATTTAATTTTCATATAACCCTATAAAAGCCATATACTACTGTCTTCATTTTAACAATGAAGAAACAAAGGTACTGAGAGATTGTATCTTAAACAAAGCTAGTCCACCTGAATTCAACCATGGTGATAGACTATGCCATACATTCCTAGAGTTAGACAGCAGCAGGGTGAGGAATTCCCAGACTGTCATATGATGAGGAATTAATGTATGAAGGAGAGGTTGGTGATCATTAATGTGGGTATGGTGCAACAATTCTTGGGTCACAAACTCAAATATTTCTTCCTCTCTGAACTCCAACATGGACATTTTTAACAGCTAGTGATCTTGGTGATCTTAGGATCCCTTTGAAGTATAGACAATTAAATAATCTGAATAAAATATGTTCAATAATGAATGTATCCTTTTTTTAAACACATATCCTTTAACTGAAAATGGTATGGCTTTTCTTGAAAGTGTTTCTTTTTTCAACTTTAAAAATCTGCTAGACTACCTACTTCATTGGGAGATGAGTGAAACAGCTCCAAAAATACACTCCTCACCATAAGCTGTGTTAACACCATGCCAAATATCATGACAAACACTTACATTTTCAGTCAATCATCTGGTTGTTTTGTAATCATAGTTCCAAACATCTGGCTGCTGGAAGATGTATAGAAAATAACCTGAATATTTAATTTTGTCTCATGGTTGTTAAACATATAAACTTGGGCTTAAGAGTGTTAGTGCTATTCTAATAAGAATGGCATTGCTGTTTCTGAATTCTTAAGGAGCTCATTTATAAATGACATTGCTATACACTCTTGGGCAGGTTCTAATCTGGGAGGTATAAAGTCCCATTTGGTGAGCTGCTAGTTGGTCAAAATGATGTTGGGATGATTCAAACAGACACTGTATGTGATGCTACCTCCTGTGATGATTAAGTCTAAAAGCTGGATATATAAGAAAGTTTGGTGGAAATTAGCATATTTAAGTTATTTATTATTTTTTAAAGCTCTAGTAAGAAAAAAAAAAAAGCCTCTGGCTGCTGAGGATTGATTTTTCTCTTTCATATCTCTAATTCCTTGTAACACATTCCAAAATCATAAGCCTCAGCACCATTACCAGGACCCCACACAGCAGGATTTATTCAGCGCTATGGAAAGAGACCAGCTTTTCTCAAGACATGTTGATTAATGAAAGTGCCTATTAAAGGTACTAATTAATAAAAGGAGAAAAGTGCTATTTCCCTTGGATTCAAAGCTAGACCATGTGAAAATGATATTCCTATGAAGGAGCCGGCCAGCTACCTTCACAGCTGTCTTTTCATTGTATCACAAAGTTCTAAATTTGACAGGAGAGCTTTCAAAAGCATTAAAAAAAATTATAAATTCACAACCCCATGCTATCGCCATGCTAATTCCTCATACAAAGAGAGTTTTGATGTCCTGGTTTTCAGGCCAAAATGAAGTAAGAGAACTAAGAGATTAAACAGAACAGAACAAATCTATACCCTCTCCCACTTGCCTTTGTTTTTAAGGCACTTCCTAATGCCTTTCATGACATCACTCCATAAAATATCACAAATATGGATATAGATAGACAAATATGTATATATGTATGTGATATGTAAATTTATAATATATACATTTGCTAGATATTATAGCATAAAATATATACATATAGAATACATATATAATAGAGCATATTATATATGACATTAGGTTGATTTAATATTTCCAGTTCTTCTGTACTACTACTACTACGGTGGAAACCACTCTGGAATAGAAACAAATGTTACTATCTTTCTAATTTGGCATGTGCAGGAAGCATGAGACTTTGTCAAGGGAAAACCACAAAATTGGCAATTTGTGTTGTTAGTTTTAGTTATCTATTGAAGTACTCACTCCTATAGATGATGAGAATTATGCTTTTAAATATATTTAAGAGATAGGTAAGTGAAAATGCACTTCTGCAGGTAATGGTTCAGTAATGTTGCATGTTACCTATAATAATATATTGATATTACCATCTGCCAGATATTGTCATAAGCCCATTGACATATTCTTTCACAACAATCCCTTAAAATATATAGCTATTATCAAGAGCTATCAAAATGCCCAATTTACAAAGGAGAAAGTGAGGGATAGAGAGGGTAAGTAAGTTACAGATGACTGCTTACTGAAATTTGTAATGAATTAAATAGATTTACTATGAAATAACTGCATTAAATCTCTACATGTTATCTCAGTACTATCTTTATTACTACTATGAATATCAATGACACATGTACGTTTATTTTTAGAATGGAAATTATGTCATTTTGGAAATATTTTACTTATAGTAACAAAAAAAATAAAACAAAATACCAAATAATGTTGATTTCTTATTTTGCAAGAGAAATAAATTTCTTTCCTATATATTTCATTCTAGTGCTTCTTTGCAATAATAAAATTGTATTAAAAATATCTTGGATAAAAGATTGAAAGTTATCAGCTACTATCTTATTATAAGACCAAATTCTCAAACAACTTATATATTCTAATATTGTAAATTGGAGGGGGAAGAACCTGAAAATAATAAAGCTCTTAAAGTTTTTCTTGCTTTTTTCATGCAAAACTATGCCTAGTTCCTGAAAGATGGGAACTTAAGTATGATCAAGTGAGAGTATAAATCCATACCTTTTAGTCTTATTTTAATGCTATTGAATACTATTCAATACTATTCAATTTAATGCTACTGAATACTATTTTAATGCTATTTTAATACTTTTGAAAGTATTTAAGTATATATTTAACAACACATTTATAATCCAACATTTTCAACGGCTAGAAAATCATTAAAAGTTGGTTTTGGATTAATCATTAAATTTCAAACATTAATATCAATTATTTTAACTTATAATTAAATCATGATTTTATATAATACTATTTTACCTTATTCTTTCTACCTACTCACTTTAGTCAAGCTTCCATGTGGGTATATATGTCTGTGTTTAGGAGGGTCACTGCTAAGAAATGTTTACATTTTGAGTTCTTCAAGACACTTTTCCTTATTCAACATATACATTAACATTTATTACATAAAATAAGTATGGATAGAGTGAAAAAGAGTCTGTACATTATGACTAAAGAATATAGGAAAATCGTTTCTGAGGCCTAATTATCATCTTCTGATAATAATAATAAATACTATCTGCTGAATGATGACTATGGGTTAAGAATTATAGGAAATGTTTTAATATATGATCTTATTTAACACTAACCAAAGCATTCTGAGAGGTAAGTACTAAGAATGGTGCATGCACGAATGCAGCATTGATGAGTTAAGTAGAGAATGTAACAAGAAGTGCTACAGCTTTGGAAAGTTAGTTTAGGACTAGGTTTGCTCAAATGGTTTTAATCATGAATCAAATTGGAAACGGCTTTGTCTTTTCCACTTTTTTAGTTTTTGAATTCAACTACACCAGCTTGCTTTCTCCCACATGGACTTGAATGTGAGATATATGGATCTGGAAGGACTTCAGATTTTCTGTTAACTGGCAGGTGCTCTGAACCGCTGTGGGGAGAATTTGTCGGCAGTACTGTCTCCCCAGCAGCTGCTTCCTGGAGAAGTTGGACTTTCACCTCAGGAGCTATAAAGGGAATGAACACTACATTCAAAATGCATGCAGGGGAGGTTTAAAATAGCAGTATCAGAGAGGGAGAATGCAATCAGGCCCAGAAAAGTGACTGAGGCAAAGCTCTAGAGTTTAAGCAAACCTATTACATCCTTTTGGGGATGAAGCCAAGTAAAGACACCTCATTCTCAAAACAAGAGGAAAAATAAAGTGAGATTCTGTACTAAAAACAGTCTCAGCAACTTCACCTCTTTCTATCAACCATCTTTCTGTTTAAGTCATTTAGAAAGTATTCTATTTGCACATAAATACAGATGA